CTTTGAGGAGCCGGAAGTGGAGTACCAAACACTGACTCCACGGTACTCATCTGAGTACCTCACTGAGGAAAGTTGTGCTGCACCCTGGTTAATTCATCCATTTTAAACATGATCACGCCTGTCAATTGACTGCGAGTTCCTCCAGGATACAAGGACCGTTTAAGGGCAACTGAATGTATAGTCTTGAGCCGGGAACAATTTAAACGATGAACACATTTATTGTCCGTATATGGACTATCATAACCCAGGTAAAGCACATATGTGACCTCAATCTTAGAGACCAGTGGCGGACTTGGCCATCGGACGTTGCCGGTACCGAAGGGCGGTCAACGATGTGGGCACCCAGTGACAATTTACTAGCGGTACGGAAGTGGGCGTCGAGATGCCCGGGCTGATTTTGATCCCAGTCCGCCCCTGTTGAATATACACATGCATTGAAAAAACTGAAACGTTGAATTTATATTAAATATCAAAGTGGCCTATCATGCTATATTTGAATAACATATATTGTTGTGCATTACTAAATAAAACATGTCTGTGAAGTTTTTTTTCAAATAGCCAAACAGATCATGCATTCTTAGCCACGCATCCATTTAGCTCTATTTGCCTCTATTCCAGGCCATGTGTCAAATTGACCAGGAAACATTGAAAATGGCTTTCTGACTGGCAGTATGAGCTGCAGCTGACGGACGTGCCTCATGCAAAGTCATAGGAGGCGATGTGCACACATCGTCATGTTTACAACGCAGACGTTGCTAGCGCATTTACCATGCCACGCAACCGTTCTGGGGAGTAAGACCCATTGCTCCCAAGGTCGAGAGAGTGTGAGACTGGAGACTGCATACGCAATAATAATAATAATAAGATGCATTTCTATTGTATATTTATATAGCGCTTTTCACGACTCAAAGACGCTTTACAATATGAGGGAGGGTAGACAAACAAGGACAGGCAAACAAGTAAGTATAGTAAAATAAAAAAATAAAAAGGCAGTCAAGAGGAAGTTGATTGAGAGGGGGGGGGCTTATGGGTAGACAGAGTTGAAAAGATGTGTTTTGAGGCGGGACTGAAAGACTGGGAGGGACTCAGAGTCACGGAGATCTTGGGGGAGGGAATTCCAGAGCCTAGGAGCTGCCACTGAGAAGGCTCTGTCCCCAAAGCTGCAGTGTGGATGTGGGAATGGATAGGAGTCCGGCTGCGGTGGATCTGAGGGACCGTGGGGGTTGATAAGGAGTGAGAAGGTTTGTGAGATAAGGGGGGGCCAGATGGTGGAGTGCTTTGTAGGTGAGGACCAGAATTTTGTAGTTGATGCGATGGGAGACAGGAAGCCAGTGGAGGTCTTTGAGGACTGGGCTGATGTGATGCCATGATTTGGTATGCGTGAGGAGACGTGCAGCTGCATTTTGAACCCGTTGGAGTCTGTTGGGGGATGTAGTGCTGATGCCGTAAAGAAGTGAGTTGCAGTAGTCAAGGCGGGAGGAAATGAAGGCATGGATTAGTCGTTCGGCTGCGGGGCGGGTGAGAGAGGGTAGGATTTTTGCAATATTGCGGAGGTGGAAAAATGAGGTTTTGACTGTTTGGCGGATGTGAGGTTCGAGGGAGAGGGTGGGGTCAAAGATTACCCCAAGGTTGCGTGCCTGATTGGAGGGGGAAACAATGGTGCCATCGATGGTGAGTGTTATGTTAGTGACCTTGCTGAGGGTGGATTTGGAGCCAATTAGGAGGAGTTCTGTTTTGTAGCTTAGTCAATAGCATTCAATCTGTACCAATACTGCACCGCCTCCTCTTTTTAATAATCTGACCTCTAAAACACTGATTCCGCCTCGGATCATATGACAGGTTCAAAACTAATTATAGTTCAAAGTCAACTTTATTTTCAATCTTTCAGTTTGTGCGTACAGACAGAGAGATCGAAATACTGTTTCCCACAATCCCGAATACAAAAACAAATATATATAAAAATATGTATGCAAATATGTATATACCTATACTGTATATACACAATCAAAATACTCATTCATACATATGCACACATTAAGACCTAAATCAAAGCACAACAATCAATATATACAAAATAACAGTCACTTCGATATCTATCTTCTAATAACATGCAACACAGTCAATCCTTGCATACATATTATCAAAGTAAAAACTTAAAAGGATGTTATGAAGGGGAAATAATAGAATTTTAGGAACACTTCAGAAGTTTTATTATGGAAATTGAGATGCAATTTTGAAACTCTCTCTCGCAACAGATTGTAAAACTGACTGGACTCCTTGATATGAAAACATGTGATTGTGCAAATGTGTGTGCTGATATTTATCCTTCATGCATTTTGAAAAAAAATTTTTTTCATGTTCCCAGCTCTTATTTTATGTCATTTTTCAAATACATGTCTCAAAACAGTGATATATGCATATATAAAGTATAAATTGTTGAAAGAAGCAAATTGTTTAGCCATCGTATCTCCTCTATTTCCTCTACTATCATTCAGACCTGTGTACTCTTACCTTCATCACCCTGTCTCGCGCAATCTGTCTTCTCTGCAGTTTGGGCAGAACTAACTGTGACATCGGGACCCAGAGTCATGGCTTTCTTACAGATTGGTTAGAAATGAGTTCCTCGCCACTTTGAAATCTAAAGGAAATGGCATCCTCCTCACTGTCTTGACGTCCACATTTCCAGCTCTGACAAAACTCTGCCTGTGAGGGAGAATTGTGGATACAATTAAATTTACCGTGGCATTCGGAAAACAGCCGATTGTGTCTCAGGTTCCAGAGGAAACCATTACAAATCCACTCATGACACTGTAGAAATAAATGTAACTCACTAAATCACCTTTGTTTCATAATATATGATAATATAATGTTTTGTGTTGTTTATAAAAATGCATTCCTTTTGAGAGGAAATTCAAATGCTCCCCTTGTATTTGTGTTGTTAGAATAACGTTGTAAAAGCACCACCATGATGTGTGAAAGCCTTGTTCACAGTAAATGTGCTTCCAATAGGCCCCGTGGCATCTCTCCCCCCCCCCACCCCACCCACCACCACCCCCACCGCTCCTCCTCTAATCATGTGAGGTGGCCCGGGTGGCGTCGTGGTGAGAGGTCATGTTGGATTAGAAAGCACCCTGTGTGATATAGGTTACTGCACTGTGCTGCTAGCAGGGTGCTGGGTGCGGGGGTTGAGCGTTCACACACACTCACACACAAAAGACATGGATGAGTCACACCAGTTGACTCCAGCGAAAGGAGTTGATACATCTACTGGATTTAATCGTTAAACCGTCTAATGTCGTTTTTATTTTTTTTAAGAAGGGGCAGGGAAATAAGATGTTCTTCTCCCTGCTCCTTTCCACCATGCACTATAAAAAAATGAAATAAAATAAAAAACCAGTAGGCCTATAAGTGTACATGTTTTGTTTTAAAATAACTGCCATGTGTGGAATAAATAAATAATATTCACCAATGGAGGTCTATTAGCTGGATCATATTGTGATGCTTGTTGCAGGTAACAGCCTCAGATATTGCTAGTGGAGCCTTGCAGTGGAGCCTTGCAGCCCCCTCATCAGCCCCCCCTTGCCATGTCTCGCTGTCTCGGAGCAACCAGGAAACCACACCAGTAATCAAGCTCACACTGTCCGCTTCTCACATCAGCGAACCGCGCAACGTCCCGCCAACACGGCACCCAGACCCCACGCAGCATTCTTATCTGTTTGTCATGACTGGTGTAATGTTCTGGTTGCTAACGCCATGGTAACACATATATCACTGATGTTCCGCTGTAACGGTGGTGGACTCATCAGAACAGAGTGGGCGAGCTGACCAATCAGAGCACATTGGGCTCACAGGGAAGGGGGGGGCAGGAGCTCCGACAAGCCGTTTAGGACAGAGAGTGAATACGCATACTATACAGAGATGCTGTATGAGAAACCAATGTGAGTTTGGAACATTGAACAATGTAAATCTATTGTAGTAGACCTCAACAATGGAATTATGATCAGTAGAAATGGCCATGACATGGGACCTTTAAATGTAGGCAGTTTAAAGAAAAAGCAACTGCTAACACGCTTTACAACATGTACCTCTTCTAAAGGATTCTGATGTTGATAATTTAAAGCTGTTTCAACTCTGAAAATATTATTTAATTATGGTTTATGAAGCGAACTGAGAGCATTTCAGTGCATATACCTGTATATACACACTGCCTGCATTTCAGCTTGAAATAGAAATCAGCTTCACACACAGCTGTCACTATCTGCTTTTCTACCAGGAGTTATTTCATTGAGGAGATATTGATGTGGCCATCGGAGGGCACTGCAACGCAGAATCTTTCTCATCTGAGATTCAGTTAAATATAAATCAGTCTTCAGACGAGGAGACAATTACACTAATCTGTGAAAGCATGTGTGTCTCTTGATGATTCATGTTGCGTCTGTGATTGTAGATACTTGAGCGGAGTTGCAGTCTGACTCCCTTTCTGTAGCCGGATTTTAGTAATGACGGACAAAAATCCTTTCCTATGTCTGTAACCATGGCAGCCAGAGAGAGAACAAAAAAAAAAAAGTGTGTGCGTTCGGATTCTGTACTCACAAAAAAACAAGAACCCATATGAATTTATCTTTCCTTAACATGAGCAATCCTGGTCCAATTTGTCTCAAACTCGATTAATATGACCCTGTTGTCATGACATGAGGTCACCATCTATCTTGCTTCATTAAGCCGCAGACAGACTTCATATGAGAAGTCTCGCAATGATAGTCAGGGGGGCATTTTCTGAGCAGGTTTGCATGAATAATAGATGTCTGGTGATGGTTAATTAGGAGAGGTCAAGCCTCGGTAGAAGTAACATCTGTGTTGTTGTGCAGGATAGAAGTCTGGAAGACAAAGGAAAGATGCTGGAGATACAGATCCCAGCTATTGTATGCCATTCAGGAGTAGGACCATTTTCTTAATCCCCAGAAAGAAATCACTTTGAGTAATAACAGTCACAACGAGGATTACATTTGTGTTCATTTTTAATGGTGAAAATTCATTTGATAACTTATTATTTCTTTGTAGTAAATTTCACAAAACACATGGTCACAGTTCCCTGGTGACCCATTTACAAACGCTACAGGTGGAGGTGTCAAATATTACATTTGTTGGAAAAGTGGCAGTGTCACATAACCATCTGAACAGGAACGGTGTTTTACATATCCATGTATCTTCTCAAGAGCAAATCATAACAGGAATAATACAATTAAATAAATACTTTATCTATATATATTTAGATTCTCTCTTCATATACATGCATTTCTTTTAAACATGCAATTTAATTACAGAGTAACACTTTGAATTGAAGTTTGAATAAAATCTCGTAACTTAATAAACGTGCGGGGCCGACTCCCGCTTGGCAAAGGTGAAAAAAATCTAAAAGCTATTTACAAATGCTCTTTTATAGATCCGCGCATTTTCTGCCTTGTTGTTAAGCAATCAATCTTTTTGGATTTCACATCAGTTATATCTACAATCCTGTATTAGCCTTCAAGTACCATCATCAATAAATAAAGTTTCCAATACAATATGCTACATAATCATTGTAGGTAGAGAAAGATTCATTAATAAGATTTCTTTTTATACACAAACAATTATAGTCATCTATTTTTATGTAAATATAAATGTACTAATAATCCAGAAAACTTTCTTTTTTTGTCGATAGATATTTTGTATGGTTAAGATTCACATTTTGTCTATGAGTGCGTTTACACCATGCGCATCCTGGCTGTGATGCGGAGTTTCCCTGTTATCTGTTGAGCATGTAAACGTCATATCCCGGTTTCAGAAACCTGGATATGCTAGCTGGATTACTCAAATAGAAACCGAATATACCTAAGCTTTTTAACACTGTACCCACGTTGTAAAAGATTGTTTGATAACAGACCATAGTGGGTAAGGTGAGAACACCTGCTGGCAGAGGATCAAAACCTGGATACTGTAACGATAGATACGAATAGGCAGGTTGTTCATGGTCCTTGTAAATGGCATATCCTCAATACAATAGAAAAAAACTAAAAACTTGGGTAATGTACGCATGTAAACGCACTCAATGTTCACTTTGGAATAAAACACTTTGAATGTGTTCGAGTGAAGTGGTGGTGGATAATACAAGATAGATTTAAAATATTCACAAGTATACGGACCAGTAGACCACGTTAAAGAAGAGGAAGGAGAAAGGGAAGAGGGCTCGGGCGTACAGGTCCACCCTCTTGGCAGCAGAGGGGATGACTGGTTTCGGGGGAGGAGGTCTTTTCTTTGATTTAGCCTGGCTTTTGTTGAGAGCAGCGGCGATATCGATGGACTTCCCGTAGCAGTCGAAGTTTGACAGCTCAAAGTCCCGCGGGAGCGAGCCCACGATGCTGAAGTCGTTGGTCCGCAGGTCTGATTTGGACGTGCACACCTTCTTACAGCGAGTCTCTGCCACCTGGGTGCAGGAGAACAACACAAGGAAAAACCGAAATGATTATTACATTCTGCAGCATTTCATCTAAAATATATAAACCAAGATAAGATTAAAGTAATAATCTCAGGGCACTGCTGGCGGCCCCTGAGGCAGTGGAACCAGACCAAAGTGGTTCACTACTGACCGAGGGAGCAGTAGACTGAGATTACTGCACATGGAGCCGTGCACTCTGACTTGTGTTTCCTACAATTCTGTTTATTCTTATACATAGTCTTTTATTTGTATTGTATTGCAACTGTCACTCCAATGTTACTTATTTACCCACTTGCCTCTCATTCCATCATCTTCCTCCTTGCCTTATGTTTGACGCAAAACCTGGCGCCTAAATGTCTTTTTGAATTCACCTCATCCGTCTGACTTTGAGTCTAACACCGTCAACATTTAATCAAACGTATTAACCAGGTGGCTTGATTATGATTTGCAAATGTGTTTCAATCCATGCATCCTAAATTCTTCTTTTAGTATACAAATATTTAATGAGAAAAATAATCTTTAAATCTGAAGTTCTTTTCACTAGTAAAACAACACCACCCTGCATCTAAGAATGGAATAGCAATGTTGGCAGGGTTTTTCTGAAATGTCCTCCTCATCAAATTAATTGTTTCCACTCTTTTTTCCTGTCTCTCCCCACCAGAGATATTTGTATCCTTATAATGTGCACTGGATGGAGAGATATGTAGATATATGTATAAATATGTATACATACCACCCCAGCAGATGGCATGGACAGTTACTGCTGACTGAGATCTTTTTGAGCCAGAGCCAAATGTCTATCTGCTTATTTTCTAGTCAATCTTCAATCTTTCTGTGTGAAGAAAAAAGGTGTTTGAGGGTTGGCAACATTCTTACTTAAAATGTACTGTGAAACCACCCACAAACGACCTTATGAACAACACTATTAATTAGTTTATTTGAAAAGATAGACATGACTATATCAGTGTGAGGGAGAGAAACTCCCTCTGGAGGAAACTTTGGGATTCTAGCCTTTGCAGACCATTTACATCAGGGGTGGGGAACCTCCGGCCTCCGGGACGTATACGGACCGTGAGACCATTTGGTACGGCCCTCGAGGTAATTTATAAACACACGCAAAAAAGAAACAATTAAAGAAATCTAGAATAATTAGATTAACTGAATAATTAAACAAGCGAGTTGACTGTTTTTGCTGGCCAAGGTCAGGGTCCTTGAACACAACAGGAGCCGTGTCATCACGTGGTATATGTCTCGTCTGAAAGGGGTGCAGTGCTGATGGAGAGCACCAGAACACGGCTCCGGCACTTCAGATAAGGAGTCGTACACATGCCTCAGTTTTTGCATGGCTGTGTCTTTAGTTGAAAGCCCAGTGGCGATCTGTTCATCTGTCATACTGATCATACAGTCAATAACTTTGTTGTTATTAGCATCTGGTTAGCTAGCTATGCTAACGAATATAAGAAGCTTTTTCTACAACAAGTGAGGTAAAGGCACATCTCTACAGTATATGATCATTATCGTCATAGAAAAATAAGAGAATAAAGTAAACNTCGTGTTGACCTTGGTCTAGTCTTCAGTTATTGGATTTGTAACGTTATACTATAAAGTGAAAGTACTAGAATTGTCAGTACCGGTAGTGTAGGAAACCTATAGGCATAATTTGACATTTCCTTTGGCTTCAGTCATACATCGTTTTGAATAGTTTGTTTTGTTGTTTTCTTGGTGTGAAGATTCAACATAAAGTAAAGAACTGTATATACATGCATATAAGATAATGTCAATATTACAATTACCATATGGGTAGAATGTTTGTCTTAATGGTGTCAACAAATATCGATAATGAGCAGTAAAACTATTGTATTAGGGATATTTAGTATATCGTTTGGAAGACACAGCATCATCGTACTATGAATGCTGTTCACAGATGTGATGGAGTCAGCTGTGGACAACAACTGAGAAAGATAACTTTCGATAAAGAGGTAAAATACTTACTTGCTATCTTTTTCTAAGATGATTTCTGTGTCCTTTTCCCCTCATTTTAAGTGAGTGACAGTGTACTGAAGATATCATCAGGAAACAAGGGGAAGTGAGAAAGGGGCAAGACAACTACAAAGGTTGCCACCCAAAATATAACTAGGGATTGTTGCAATAATAAAGTAAGCCTGCCCATCAATAGACAAACATAAAACCATTGAACAATTCCAACTTGTGGATCATAAGGTCAAATATATCAACTGGCCTTTTACTCTTAATGAATATTAGGAAATAGTGTTTTGAATGGAGAAAGCTGATTCTGCTGACTTCACGTGCACAGTATTTTGTAAGAGTGAAACATACACACGAACACACACACACACACACACACACACACACACACACACACACACACACACACACACACACACACACACACACACACACACACACACACACACACACACACACACACACACACGTACAAACATCCACACACACACACTCAAGTGATCAAACCAGTTGTACTGACGTGCAAGGTGCTGACATGCAGCGGCGTCCCTCCGGTCCCGTTGACCGTGTTGTTCTTGGCATCGGGGATGTTTCCCAGTGCCTTCTCCTTCACCGCCATCTTGGCCTTCTCCTCTTCGATGCGCTTCGGGCTGTTAAGCATCACTTGAACCACGGCGTACTCCACCAGCGAGGCAAAACCAAACAGCAGGCAAGCGATGAGCCAGATGTCGATGGCCTTGACGTAGGACACTTTGGGCAGCTCCTGAGCCAGGGAGGTGCACTCGGAGGACAGAGAGAGCACCGAGAGGATGCCTTAATGAAGAAGAAGGCAATTAACCTTGTCAGTCAGCAAAGTCAAAGGAAGTTTGATGTGAAGTGGAAATCTAACTTTTATATTAGTAATACATCTCGTCTCTACACTTTACATATCTACTGATCAGATAATGGTAAGTAATTAAGACAATAATCGAACTAGGTAGTCGATGTCAAATTCTGGTTTAGGTTCTGATATATTATGTGGATCAATTCCTGGCTCTTGTTAATCATGACAGGGTGTAACCATGATTGTCAACAAACAACAGCGACATAGGACAGTCCTGAATGTGTCCTCTAGCTGTTTTTATTATTGTGTATCATTGAGCAAAAGCATTAAATCTACTTACTACTGGGAGAAAGAAACAGATTCATTTCCTTATCAAAGCACTAAGTACTGAACAATTTAATCTCCCAATATGCAAACAAGTTGTCATCAAATGTTCTTCACACCCACCCAGGGTTTCTGTGAACATAAGTGCAATTAGAAATCCATGACCGTTCTTTTACCTCCTTTATTAGGACATCTGCAGGAGCTCAGACAGCCCCTAATAGCAGTAATTCGAAATTGTTTTTATCTCTGATAGCTAACAGGATTACAGGTTAGACATCCCCGCTGCACAGCAGCAACATCAGAAATAATTACAACCACTCTCCTCGGATGGTATTATAACCACCAACGACTGCAATCACTGTTCCTGTAGTGAAGCTATAGAGAAATGATAAATACAATAGAAGGGCCGATTGGTTTTGCCTGCAGGCTTCATTATGGTCACTCATCAAGAGCGGGTTCATACAGGGTTCAAGATGTCTAATAAAACTGCTTTAACCTCACTGGAACTGTTAGAGAGTGTTGTCATCCCGGTAGCCCACCTATTATATATGAAGAGGGAACATGAAAGGTGGCAATACTAAAATAGCTTTGTATGTCTTTTTCTCCCATGATACACAGCCTGTACAAAATTAACCTGCACTTTGTATCGGACAGAAAAACATATGTTTGATGCAATGGAAAGACAACCTTTGTCGAAAGAAAACACGCTCTAAACATGAAAATGTAAAAAACACACACTCTCAGTTAAATGAACACATATAGTAGACATCCAAGAGGGAACACAAAAAAGGCTAACACACACAGAAAAGAGCAAGGCATGAGTGCAGTCCCACACCTTAATGTTGACTGACCTGGTCTGATCCCATTTAGAGAGAAGTCAGAGGAGGCTTCCAGGAGGAGGTGGGGTGATGATGGGATGAGAGTGGTGATATAAAACTGGAGGGAGGGTGGAGAAATGGAGGAGTGGAGTGGGATAACAATGATTATCTTTTCCTTGCAGCGCTGCGCACACAGAGGTGCCCGTGTGATGCGGTTTGTTGGTGACACTGACATATTAGGCACATGTAGCATTAAGTGGAGTGGACATTTTTCAACAAACTGAAGCTTTCTCTGTATGATGATATTATTTTAAATTCTACCATTTTACCCTTCACCCAGTATGCTAACTTTCAGGTTCATATTTGTATTGTGTGCCTCTACTGTGACATGTCTCCATGCTTTAATGTTCAAAAAGCTCTTTATTTTAGCTGGCTGTCTCTGTTGTGATTGGTCAACCGCTGAGAGATGTCTCGCCCCTTAGCCTATCACGTACAATGTGTTGAAGCGCTAGCCAATGGAAGTGTGAGTCTTACTTTATGATGTCATTATATTACAGAAGTAAACAAAGGAGTCTGATTAAGGCGTTTCAGGCTCTGTGGTGAACTTTAAGATGTCAGCCTTTGTATTTACATGAACAAAAACCTATGTAACACAATATAGGGAATGCCCTAACAATCGTAATAGGGTTTCTTTAATATCCGTCAATCCTTTCTGACCAAACATAGTGTTTAAACTTAGTTTGAGAGTTTCCCATCATGCAGGTGGCAGCTAAGACTTGCCCCATGGCTGTGCCAACAACACATTAAGCAAGAGGGACACCAGAGACAGCTGATTTGTTTCTAGCTCTTGATTTATTCTGTGCATAAACAAGCACTAGCGGTGCCAAAACATTCCCGTATCCTCTCGGGTCTCAGGCTGACGGTCTAGCTGCACCTTCTTCAGGCTGGGCAGATTTGGCGCTTGTCCTCCTGAGCTTCAACACACCCTTCATTAATTGTGGGTTAATAGGGATCAGGTGTGGCTCATCGGCCATCTGAGCGGTTCCTGGTTCTCTCTCTCATGAAGAACTCTTGTTACTGATTAATATAATGCTTTATCAGGAACACACATGTCCTTGTACTTGTTCTCTTCTCAAAGTCATGTGCCTGCATATTTTAAGCTTGAGTTAAATAGAGTGGCCACAATTTACTAAATGCTATTTCATGTTGGCAGTGTAGGTCTGTGTTTGAATTTAACTGGTAAAGTGGCTGGATAGAAAATGTAATCCAGTCTGTTGATATTTCAGATTGAATGCATTTAGGGAATCTGATGTGACCACTTAGATCTGGGAATCAAACCGATCAGCCTTGGGTTCTTTTCCATGACTAAAAACTAAGATCTTTTTCACCTCGACAAACCAGTAAAAATGTGCAGTTATTGCATCAAAGAGGGCTCGAATTCCCATGTATTTAGACTTCCACTGCCAATAACAACTAAGCTTGCGGTGGGTCCTATCTGTCAATTCAACTTACATTCAGTGATTTATGAAATAACGAACAACACTGGCCAATGTCACCATGCTTGATGGATGAAGTCCATCATGATGTCAAAGTGATTGATGATGTCACAATGGAGAAGATTGAAGCCGTAATGTCAATGATCCCTTAAACATTTATATTCTACAGAGAGTTCATTTTTATCTATGGATTTTTACAATAGGGGTTTTATTTACCTGAATAATACCCTACCCTCTTTGGATCTAATATCCAACGTGCACTCAGCCCTGGTTGAGCAGCACAAGGAATATTTACACATCGTGTGTATTGGTAAATGTCAGTGGAAGGTGGTGGAATTGATCAAATAATCCGTACCCAAAGGCACCCTGGCAGCGCTCGCATCAGGGTTGATCCAGAAGGACAGCCAGGAGAGGACTACGATGAGCAGCGTTGGGGCGTAAACACCCATCAGGTAGAAGCCAACTTGTCGCCGTAGGGTGAAGATAACCTCCACACAAGTGTAGTACCCTGCATGAGGAAGTAGATAATGGTCAAAAATGATTTCGGTAACTTCAGGTAAAAACAAGCAGATAGGGAATGGGTTAGAAAATGACACAAACATTCAGCCTAAAGCTCCTTTATAAAATACAATTTGGAATCATTTTATTAGTTTAACTGTTTGGATTTTGCATTTCGCTGTTCTCTATCTCTTTTCATGGCTTTAATGGCTCATTTTGAGCTAGAAACGGGAACTCTTTGCTCCTGTGTTGAAGGAGGGAAGCAAGTGAGAGAAATGGCTCTATTCTGACTTGGTCTATTAAACCTGTATTAGGCATTTATCGGAAAGGTAGCAGCCAGGTTAAGTCCTTTATCTGATTTTACTCATTTTCTCCCAGCAGAAACCAAAGCACAGCTGCATGCACCATTAGTAATAGAGGAAACCAAAGAGAATTGAAAGAAAAAGGTCAATGGGCAGAAGGACATCATTTCAGCTAACTGTGTTAAAGCTAAGACCTGTTTGAGCACTCAGGGCAGCACCCATGAAAAAAAACACTGTTCCAATTCATAAAATGTCTATTATGTAGGAGATGTGTCCGCAGACAGTGCATATTTCAGTGGATAGAAACATGGTCCCTTAATTTAAGAGGATAGCGATTAAAAGCACTGCATTCATTTCATTTATAAAATATCAATTCTAACCGATCCATCTCTTGTGGAAATGTGGTTGTCATTCGTCAGGTTTAATGCAGTATGGAATAAGCGTCAGTGCACTTCAGTTCTCCTACGGCAGCGTTGTGTTTCTGCTCTTTGAGGCTGGTCGGTGGGTCCAAGGGGACGATAGAGTGGATGGGCTGGAGTAATATTTAACTAGCCCAGGGACCTCTGTGTGAGCCTTATAAAGCATATAAGGGCTGCCTGTGTCGCAGAGCAGGCTCAAACCACTCGTACACAGAGGAGATCTTTGTGTCTAGCCACGTTGCTATGGAAACACGTTAAAAGGCTGAATCATTGCCAGCAGCATGCCTCACAAGTGCAAGAGCACTGAGGTCATACCCGCTCTGTTGGCTGATAGAGATTTTCCATTCCAACGGTCTGAATGTGGCACAGTACCAGGAGGACCCTTTATTTCGTTTTTCTTCTATTTTATTACATGAATACTTGCCCTGCCAGCATCCTGGGAAAAAGGAGTTGAATGTTGTAGTAGTCTGGGTATGTTCATTGTAGCTACATCAAACATCTTGGAAATATCAATGTACATAACATTTAGTGTAGTTTGAGACTGCTTGTGCATACTGCCAATCCAAGACATAGTATACAAGTCACTGTTGAGACGGACAGGTAAATCCATTTGACTAAGTTGTGGTAGTAACCAAAGACAATTTTTTGTTGTATGAGAAAATAAATGCAGTTATCATATTTGTAAATCCTCAAGGATACACACAGTGCATTTCCGGTAGTACCGCTGAATGTAAAACTAGCTTTTGTCTGTTTAAAGGAAAACGTATGTCCCCAGGTGTCAAATCCTAAAATCTATATCAGTTTTAAGAGGTTTAAAGCATTATATTGGGAGAAATAATGGTATGATTGTCGAAAGGTAAACTGAACTAATGCTGTAGTTTAGCCTACTGATTCTAAATATTTGACGTTGCTGTAAATTTAATCAGTTATGTTAAAAGAGACCTAGCTACTTTTGTTCAGCACTCGTGGTATTTTTGAATCTACTTTTTTACATTACATGTCATTTTGTTAGACACTTTTATCCAAAGTGACTTACATACATGCAGTACTGTGGACAATCCCCACAGGAGCAAGTTGGGGTGAAGTGTCTTGACGTGACATGACGACATGCTGACTGCAGTGGGACTCAAACTTGCTACCCCCTGATTCGAAGTCCATCACACTATCCACTGAGCCACAGCCTCCCTCCCACTTTTCTGACTGATAAGCAATGTTTGCAGCATCCTGTTAAAAAATGCGTAAGAAAACCGTAGGGCAGTACCTGTTCCTGCGTAGAATTTAGTGCAGTTCCCATAGTCAATGTCTTCTTGTGACATATCAAACTGTGGCAGAGCGATTTGGTCCATTTGCACCGGGTCTCCTGTCTGCCACATAAACTGCAGGTCGTCTGTGGTGTAGCCAACTGGATAGGAGATACACAAAGGCACACATTGGTTACACACATGCATCACAAATAACGTGCTCTATATGACCACAATATCTGATAACAGTTATATACAATAGAGTACTGAATGCACAGACTGTCTCAGCAGGCGGGTTAGCCATTAGAGGGGAATCACTTTAAGTTATTTTGCACATTCAAGTCTAAACCGCTTTGTAAACAAGATGCTATAACCACAGTCAAGCTCAATTAACTGCGAGACGTTCACAGCAGCCTTAAAATATGATGATTTATTCTACTCTTCACAGTGTTCGCCATGGAAATTGGCTTCTAAACACAAGCAAAAAGCTTTCATTTACCCCAAAACAACTTTAAAAAAAACAAAAAAACAACAAATATATTCCCAACTCATTAATACTGCATTTTCCAAAAATCAACAAGCAGCAATCCTATTTGCAGAGCACATATGGGGTTTGGGATTAATGATTTAAGTTGGTGCTATTTCAGTAAAACTCACAGCTTTCAAGTTGCATCTTACACCTCTGGGTGTCCATAGGGAACAAAGTCAGATCCAGCGGACAGGAGAGGGTGACGGACAACCTGGAAAGAGAAAGGTAATGTTTTTCATTATGCTGTGCTTTTGTTGCTCTGTTTTATCAAAACAACAAGCCTTTTTTTGCACAACACTAGTATGACCTTAAAGTTTACTAGGATTTAAAAGTTCACCCTCATTTGCTTAAACAACATGTGTTACGCTCAAAAGTATCGACAACTTCACAAGGATCATCTGAGGATTGAAACACAGAAAAATAGCTGTTTACCGAACTAGTTAGCATTTAGCTCATCAGAATATAAAATGTTTTTCCACCAAATGATATTCAACACTCTCATTATCTTTTTATAATTTCACTCTTCGAGCCCAAATCCTCAATGATTATTTACCCAGAAGGAAAACAAAACAAAAAAAAACAGTGAATCCAAGCAAATATGCTAAGCAAACCTTCCCTAACTGATTCAGATGCTTAAAACACTAAAATAATCAGTGTTCATTTGCAGGGCATTAAGGAATCAAATGATCGATTTAAATCACCACATTAAAGTCTCAAGGTAAGAGTCATCTGAAGCAAGTCTAGCGAACACGTACAGCATTTAAAGCATTTGGCATGCTTTTCACTGAGTTTGATTATAGCATCATATTGCCATTTAGTTATAGTGCGCATTCATTTAGCTTGACATCGTGTTTATGGCTAATTGTTTTTGCTTCGAGTGGGGTATTATTTAGTTTTGCCCTAACCAATAAGTCTTGAGTGGCACATCCATTCTTGTTATTTCTCCAAGTGGACTTTCACTGATGTTAAGACGGTGTTTATCTCATCCACATTTTTTACATTTTCATAGGACATTCTTGATCCCACCATTCAAGCTGATTTAGTCGATTGGATCTTAGGAAATGGCTCATCAATAGAAAATACCAGATATATTTCAAACATCTGAGATGTGGGTTGCAAAAAAGATACTGCAACTCCCTCCTGGCTGGTGGTGGCGAAGTCGATAGGGAGTTGGCTTGGCAACTGGAAGGTCACCAGTTCAAGTCCCAGCAAGACCAAGTGCTACCGAGGTGTCCCTGAGCAAGGCACCGTTCCCTACACTGCTCCCCGGGCGCCATTCAAAATGGTAGCACACTGCTCCTAACACTAGGATGGGTCAAATGCAGAGAAACAATTTCCCCACGAGGGATTAATAAAAGTCCATCTTATCTTATGTGCCATCCGACCTCTGCAGCTCATCCAGAATGCAGCGGCTCGTCTGGTCTTCAACCTTCCTAAATTCTCCCACACCACACCGCTCCTCCCTCCCTTCACTGGCTTCCAGTAACTGCTAGAATCCACTTGCGTACCATGCTGCGAATGGATCTGGCCCTTCCTGCATCCAGGAAATTGTTAAACTGTGCACTCCGCTCTGCATCAGCCAAACAGCTCGCTGCACCCGCACTGCGAGGGGGACCCAAGTTCCCATCAGTAAAAACACGTGGGTTTGCTATCCTGGCTGCAAAATGGTGGAATGAGCTCCCCATCCTCAGGACAGCAGAAAGCTTACACATCTTCCGGCGCAGACTGAAAACTCATCTCTTTCGATTCCACTTCGAGCGATAGAATGATTAACAAAGAACTTATATACTAATAAAGGACTGGCTTATCTAAAGCTTGTTGAGTAGCACTTGAAATGTTTTAGCTCTTTGAAACCTGATGTACTTATATGATTCTGTTTTCTTCAAGTTTGTATCTTCTTGGTCGATTGCACTTATTCGAAGTCGCTTTGGATAAAAGCGTCAGCTAAATGCAATATAATGTAATACTGGAAACGCTATGATATGTGAAAAAGTGGAAGTTCAATTCAAAGTGATTTTAAGAGGAAGCCAGTAAACATGCACACTTAAATGAATCAAGAGAATTACATTGTCCGTCATTATTTTCCTGGGGTGAAGAATAAGTGATTGTTAAGTTTTCTAATTCAATGACAGATAAAGCTACTGTGTGCAAGATATTTAAAGATCTATAGGTCATGTGACATTTTCCTCCAACACAAATTGGAGTATATTTAGTATTAAACATTCAAAACATTGCATAATGAGCTGAGAGGGGACTCCTGTTGTCTTTGGATGGCATGTCCCTTAAGTATTGCCTTCAATTTGCATCACATTCAAAAGTAAAGACAAGGACAAAGTCTAATCAAAATCCATTACCTCATACTGATGAGGACGTCTCCGTTACGGAAAATGAAGAGGAGGAGGTTCTCCTGGGTAACGTCGTGAAAGTTGGCGCTCTTTTCGTTGGCGAAGAACAGGTCAGGTTTCCAGAGACATTTGAACATCGTGGGATCAACGGTGAGGGAATCAGACTTGTAGTCCGCAGGTAGCTTCAGTCTGGGGTCGTTCCAGCGCTGCCGCAGGAAGATGTTCACTCTGTAATCCTGTTGGGATGCAATGAGAGCAATGTACACGGTTAGTAGGCTACTCTTGGACACAATTTGGGTGCGTTTAAAGGAGTTATTGACCTTTTATAATGGAATTTAGATGCTTTTTTAAAATATATAATAATGTCCAATGCTTGTTTTTTTAAAAGGAGAATTCCCAGATTGAACACAAAACAGCCACTTATTTTATTTTTATAACCATTGAGTTCCCTTTCCAAAATACTGCAAGGCATTTATTAAAAAGTCTAAATTGTATTTGATGAATAATGGTTTGGTTTGCAGTTTAAAAAAGTACACATTATTAAAAAATGTCTACACTGCCTTTGAGAAACGTTCACTTTCTCACTATACAGCTGTTCCACCTTTTGGACACGTTATATGTTCTACTTCTATTAAGTCATTCTATCATGCATAGGGAGATTTTACAGCTGCAGTGAAAACGCTCATGACGTCTGCCTTTAAAGGAGTGAACACACAGAAAACACAGTCCACGGGTCAAATGTTATCAATACAACAGCATGTGTTGCAGAATGTGCCTCGTTATAAAGCTTATTAGGGAAACGTCCACATTCATGTTGGTGGGAAAGTATCACTGAGTGAAGTTTTGGGAGTTTTTTTTTCGTTCCTGCTTTGATGGCGTGGTTCAAGCTGTTCTGGGACCAGGTGTTAGGGAGGACCAGAATACTGAGTGTGAAGATGGATGACATGTCGAATAAACCAGCTGTATAGGTGTGTGGGTGTGTGTGTCCTTGGGTAACAAATGTGCTTCTACCTTCCATTCTTCCAATTTTTTGTTTTTAATATCGTTTACCTTTTTGTATGCAGCAGCCTCGAGTCCGCTAAAATCCAACATTTATCATTGCTTTATTGTCGGCACTGTTTTTATATAAAAAATGTTATCATTTTTCTCACATAATGAGAACAAAGAACATTGTTGGTGTTCATGAGATCCTCAGCAGAGCCCATAATGGACCATTATGACATCCACATGAAAATGTTTGACAAACCAAACCAAGAGAAAACCAGGCAATCTATGTTAAAACATTGCATCATTATATAAAGTCAAATTCAAGGCAATCAGAGCCAAGAAATGCATCCCTTTGAAACCCAAATGTGTTTAAAAATGCATGATACCAGTGACATCTGCTGACCTTATTCCCCTGATTAGCCCGTTTCACATGCATGCCCGTTTCTATATCTTGTTGAGTCTGACCAACTGCTGGCCCAGGTGAACGACACCAAAACAATACATCAATAAAGCTGTCGGTGGTCTTTAAAAAAGCAAACAATGGACCTTATGGTTCAAATTGTTCGTAGTTTGTAATTCGTGATTGTAGAAGGTCTGATCCTGTTGGTTTTAATGTGTTTGGATCATATGCCCTGCAGTTCTGTCTCTGGCCACCATGACAGAAAACCCTCTCTGGGGGATTCTTCAAACTCAGTGATCCTTTTACTCACTTACTTCGTGTTTGGGCCCCCTGTGGAAAATAAGGCCCCAATAAGCCCCCTTTGTTTGATCCTGTCTCTGTCAACATGTTGCCCCTCACCCCTAAATTAAGCTTATCTTGGCTGCAGCTCTGCAACTCGTCATGTATTGCTCTTTTAGGTGGTCTTCCATGTTTTCATTTGCCTCCTCCGGGAGATACCTGTCTTGATTACAACACGTTGCCCAGTAGCTTAAGTGATTCTCCTTTTTCTGCTCTTATTTTAGGATTGCACAGGCTAGCATTTCTGATAAAATATGTGTAATGTGCTTGCTGCCAAATAGTCCAGTCAAGCCAGATGTGTTTTCAAAGTTTTCCCTTGCGTTTTTGTAAATGCTATGTTCACCTTTTTCCTGGCAAAACATATTCCAACTGGAAATCATTTTAGTAACAGCGAGATTTGACAGTGAGAAACAGCAAGCAGACATACATTTGCTTTTATAGGTCATCTGTTCTTGAAGAAACGAGATTCTTATGATGTTTATCAGCATTATGGGACCTTTATTTCTAGTTTAGTATCTTCATTAATACTGGACTGAACTAACTCACAATTTACTTTTTTTTGCGATAACTTTTCACAATAAAACCTGTTCTTTTGGACCAAAACATGCACAGGCAACAATTTATGTTTCTACATTTAATCGTGCCATTTGAAAATACAAATACAATAGCTCTTAAAAATCAATTCGACCCAGCAACATGAACATGTTGAGCATGTTATTATCCTTGAACTGAATGTCATTCTGTGTATTCCATAATACACAGTGATACATGATTCATTTTCCTGGCAAAAATGCAACAACAAAATTGAAATCAATATTGATCAATGTCATTTGTTGTGGTACATGCTGATGCACGGAGCTTGAGGCAAGAAATCAAATGAAAGGGTTTCTTCCTCTGTGGTATACACATTATAAATAGTCAGGAACTATTTGAAAAACTCTGCGAACACCGTCATACAGTATACACAGCGATCATAAGACGGTTTACAAATTCAACCCTCACCCTGAATGTGCTTTTATCTTCCTGCCAGTAAACATTTGTAAGAGAAGGAGCAGTGGTCACATTGTTGATATCTAATGTTGTAAAGCCAACTGTGATTCTATACAACCCAATTTCACAATCTAATGTCCAACTAGTCCTCAAGGGACTGCACAAATAGCTACTGCCAGCTCCGATAGAGACCCAGGCCAATTCCCAAACATTTGCCTTCCTGAAAACCAGACAAGGAAATATATCTTCCCCCTGGCTCACTATCAACGTGCCTGTACTGCATTCAGTTTCAGAGGTTTAACATAACCACTCGGTGTAATCAACAAGGATAACTCAAATGGAAAAGCAGTTTGAAAACACAGAGCTACAATTTATTTCACAGCTTCACATTAGTCATCCTCTCCTGGCGATTACCGTCAAGAAGTGAGAATATATGTGTTGACTACAGTGGATGGGAGGTGGTGTTTGGCCTCCAGAGGTGTACATGACGAGAGAGGCTTTCTTGAGATCAGATACCCTACAGAGTGATACATTGAGGGGGAGAGGTGACCAGCTGTCACTTCCCTCTCCTCCAGGATTCATGTTGAACTTTGCTCACTTTCTTTCTGTCTTTTGATGGGCCTGTAGTGGAAAGAGGGAAGACAGATTTGACCTCTGGGAGTCCCTAATCTCTCTTTTCTGTCTCAGATTCAGGTATTGTGTGTTCATCTCGATCCCTTCTCTTTCCTTCTCATGGGTTCTTTTTCTTAGATTCCTCCCCCTCCTGCACCCTTTACTTTTCTCTGCTTTTTCCATACTTATTCGCAATCCTCTGTTATTTGTCTTTCTTATCATCTTTGATCTCCACCGTAGATTGAAAGCTTGCCGTGGATTGAAGCCGTGTTCGCTGGGACGCCCAAGGCTGACGTCATTTCAATTATTGGGCGTTTCGTCTAGTTTTCTAAGCAGAAGAACGAAATAAATGATTTACTCTGTAACCCCCACTATAACTTTGTCCAGGGTTGTCGTACTCCCACCAAAATCACATTGGTGTTTGCTGTCCCCCTCTAGTTTGTGCACACAAAAGCATTTTACTCTGGGCTCAACAGGTGAAAAACTAAAGAGGGGCTTGCACATGTGGCAGACCTGGGGCTTCATTTATAACGCCGTGCGTAGGATTCACGTAGGAAGGTTGCTTACGTAGTAAAATCCAAAAAATAGGTACAGACATTTTCCGACATTTTCCAATTCAGCAAACATTGCGTACCGGGGAGGAAAGAGCGTACAGCACTTTCTACGCCGGTTTCCCTTTATAAATCACAATCGACTCGAAATGCTGTGCAGCTTTTGCGGGCTTCACGTAACGCCCATATTTGCCTATAAATAGTCAAAGAAACGCCCATTCATTCATTTTGACTGACTGCATGAAGAAGATCGCTGGAAATGTCGACAGAACAGCTAAAAAAGACATCTCACACCGTGTCAGATTTTGGTTATTTTGGGGAGGTCGAGATAAATCATATTGTTTGGTGGATGCAGTTTGAACCAGAGTAGCAGCATGGAGGTCGGATCGTCACCAAAATAAATAATAAGTGGTCCGAAAAAGGTTAATGACAAAAAAAATACACAGCCTTCCTCAGGCAGTGTGTTTGTACCGGGGACAGGAGACCCCCCCCCCTTGATGAGAAACTGTTAGAAATGATCGGGGGATCCCTCCGGAGTGGAGTCATGACGACTGGATCTGAATTATGTTTTAGTATTTGGTGGTTTGTTTCCCAGCTGTCGATCAGCTGTGCGCAGCATCTCCACTGCAGCCTGTGCATCTCACCCCCACCCCACCCGCAGCAACTCTATATCCACCAGTTAAAGGAAATACAACTAATGTGTTGTGTTATATTAGCTGTACAATTTACCACATATGGTGCTCTTAGTTTCCATACCTCCTGTGTTTTATGAGCGACTTATCAAGTCTTGGCAAACGGCAAAACACGATTAAACGTGATAGTATATAAAACCATGCTCATATACAACCTATAGAAATGCAAAACGGTGTCAGTTTAGACGTAATTCTGTCCTCCTGCTTCCCGCATCATTTAAGAGAAAACATTTCATAACATTAACACTACATATTCGAGGAAGTTTTAAATAACATATCCGTATTTATTTATTTCTCCAAGTTATGTTTTTGTGTGCACTGAGGAGTCTCAAACAGGCGTTTGTTAAATCATTTTAAGATTGGCTTTGATCAATGTTTGAAAATGAATTCTTCATATATGATAAATGAGAGGTAACATTTTATTTATGGTATTATTTCCACATATTTCTATCTCTCCATTCTTCCTTCTGCCAACGGTGTCGCAGTTTCTCGTCTCTCCCGTTTTTGTGCTTAGTGCGTACGCATGGGTTAGAGTTTGCGTGGAGGACCGCACATTTTCCCGTCAAGTTAGTATTTTATAAACCGCAAACATTGCGTAGAAACTGGCGTACGCCATTTTTTGAGCGTATATCCCTTTATAAATGAGGCCCCTGGTGTTGGTGCTGCCGGATTTGGCACCCCCACTCTAACTTTGCCCAAGATAGTCGTACTGTCACCAAAATCACACTGGTGTTTGCTGTTCACATGTAGTCTGTGCACACAAAACTATAGAAAGTAAATCATTTATTTCGTTTTTCCGCTTAGAAAACTAGACGAAACGTCCAATAATTGAAAGGACGTCAGCCCTGCACGTCCACGGACACGGCTTCAATCTACGGCACAACACCGGTACTAGTCTCCTACTATCTATAGTCTTGTTTTCGTCTCTGTTCCTCTTGCCTTTACATTTGTCTTCTGCCAAATTGTTATTTCCTTTTTGCCTTTCTATCTGTCTTTCACTTTCTGTCTACATTTTTGTTTTCTTTCTCAGCTCTTGTCCACATTCTTCCCGTTTCTTCCTACTCATTCCTGTTCTTCATTCCTTCTTTCCCATCATAGTCCTACTCCATTTCCCTCTTCATTGTTTCCACCTATGTTGACTCTTCTTTAAATATCCTTGGGCCCCAACTATTATATATATGTGTTTCCATTGTCTGCATAGTTCTGTTATTAGTCCCAGTGTAAAACCATCCACTGAAATATTGTACAAGCGGACACACTGCACTGATCAGCAGCCAAGAGCAATAATTCCAGAGTAAATGTCCATACAGCTCAATTCCAGTAGACCTATATACGATCTAAGGCTTTTCTCTCAGTGTCACTCTTCATTAAATGAAGTTGGAAAACACCCATCATTGCTTTGGATTGAGACATAGTCCAGATCCGCTACAGGACGAACAAAGGTCTAATATGTAGTAATCTGTTCCCGGGAAGCCTGAGGTTAGCAAAATGTGTTCATGAGCTGCTTCACAGTCCACAGGTCTGCCTGCTAAATGTGTCAAAAAGGTTGGGTGGCATTTATTGTTAGTCTTTATGACGTATGCGCTAAGCTGTTTTGTTTGAGGAGCATGCCACCAGTGTTTTCCCACCATTCCAACACCACATCTGACAGCAGTTTGATAGCTTTTTAAATCTAGTTCTCTTTTCATTTCAATTGTAAGTTCAGTTGTTCAGTTTTTATTTTTTGGGGACATATAGTGTCCAAATGGCTTGGTGTTGGTAGTATTCCAATTTCCCCCGAAACAAATGCACTGTAAATAAAAATCAACATTTCAGGCTCAGATTTTTTATTCATGGCCTTTCTTGGCGTTAATCGGGGTCAAATGGGCCTGAATTAGTTGTGCAAGAAACAGGCTTGTTTTATTGCTTAATTACCGCTTTGAAATATTCTGTGAGAATGCCTGTGTTCTTTTGGAACAAAACTCTCTAAATCACAGCCTGTAAATCTGCCCTGTGTAAAGGGTTTTATGAGACAGAATTAAGTCAAACATTGGATTTTGTCACACCGCACTGCATTAATTCAAATTACCGTGACACATGATTCAACATATTTACTGAGATAGATACACTTTATGGTTATTGGCTCCTCCCAGCCACTTCAAATTAAAACACACCAGTAAGCCGGGCTCATTAGAAAACCTTCAGGAATGTTCAATTTTATTGTTTCGTAGGTTATCAAGATTCGACCCAGTGCCGTCCGTGAGCTTAATCTGCTCACTGGCATTCATACTGCACTTCTTTATCAGCAATTAAGCCATCAGATAAATGGGGCATGAAAACCCCAGCCTGGATAATGACTTGCTGCTAAATGGTCTGATACTGTCTAGAAAACATGCTCATGCATCCGTTTTAAAACTTGTAGGAAGAAGCAGTTTGTAAGCTCTGATTCACTGCATCTAATCGGCAGAAGTATTGATTATCAATACGGCTAAGTTGAAGTGGAATAAAGTGGTTCATTAAAGAGTCAAGAAAAGAGTTAGCAGTTAACCACTTCCGGTTCCCTCGTCTCGAAGCCAATAGTTTGTTAATCGTGTTTGTGGTTAAAAGCCCTAATTAACGTCTGTGGTTAACACAAGCTTACGAGATGTTCACGTTGTATTGAAGAACATAAAACATTCCGTAAATCCTCCAGTGAAGCTTCTGTGTGTCATAAAAATGGCAAGAGAATCAATAAACTTCTTAACGTCATCTCATGACACAGGTCCACCTTTAGCTCAGCGGTGGTGATGTACAGCCATGCGACCGTGATGTAGTTTGCTTATAGCATTAAGTTAGCTTTTAGTTTCTGCCGATTGCATTTACGCTACGAAAATCTCAAAGTGGTGTTTATATGTGGGGATTAAGAACAGTATCATAAACGTGTGTTGGCCACAAAGCTTTGTTTCTGCAATAGACTGAAATCCAATGGAAACATCTCAATGCTTTTGGTTGAGGGTCGCCTACACAAGTACATCCTCAGTGCACACTATATTGAAGTGAACTCTTACCATTGTTGTTTCTTGGATGGAGCCAAAACTGTTGATGAAGATGTTCACTCTGTCTTCCACTGGAATTCCTGGATTTAGAAAAAAGGAAAACATAGATTTTAGTAATAGGTCTGTTGTGTTTTATAGCCGCTTTGCGATGAGAGCAAGATACCTCTGCGGCTTGTAGCTTACAGTAAGTGTCAGTATGCTTTGGAAAACCCTTAAGGTCTTTCATTCTATATATAACACTGGTGATTCAGATGGTTATTGATCTAGATTTGTGCAAGACTTAATCGCCATTAAAAAGAAATAACAAAACCTTTAATCCTCTCTGCTACACTTATGCTGTTACTCACATCTCTCTCCACCTTTATCAAAAACGAATAAAACCCTAAGTGAATGCAGTGCTGCTCACACTGCTTTGAACACATTATTTCCTTTGAGGTGTTTCCTGGAAGCTTAGTTGTTGCATATGATAAATGATATCAAGCAATTCACAATATTAATGTGCATACTATGGAGGGGTCATTCAGCTCACAACTTCCATGCATTAATGTAACCAACAAATATTTAACTAACATTTCTGTTGTAAGTTCAAACTCTATAGGGACTGTGAAATCAGCTCAGCATTTGAAAGGCCTATGGAAAGTTATTCACAAGGCACAGTTAAGGATGATATTTCAGAGATTATGACATGGATGTTAATGGACAGAGAGCTTTTTAGCCCACCCTGAAATCAAGAGCAGATGTTTGGCTGCTGGAGCGGTCCCAGGCATTCAGAGAGGGAGCTGATTCTGTTCACAACACATCAGACATTTAGTCCCAGATACCGCTTCTGCTGCCAAGTGCCAGAGGATGGAAACTACCTGAAGGCTGGTAAGACCATCAGTCAGACGGAGAGGTCGTCAATCACCTCTTTGTTATTTTTATGGCTCTGTCTGTGAGGCTGCAGACTGGTACAGTGTGACGTTTACAATACACTGTACACACGCTGTAAAGATGGACACTTGTTGGACGGTAAAGAACGAAATAACAGAGGCAGATCCTAGAGAAGACAAACAAACTACACACTGTACTTTGTTGTTTGGTCAATTGAGGAACATCTTAAAAGGGCCCTATTATTATTTTACTATTTCAGGTTCATGTGTATTTAGTGTCTCTACCTTGACATGTTTCCATGCTCTAATATTCAAAAAGCTCTTTATTGTTCTCATACTGCCTGTGCTGCAGCACCTCTTTTCACCCTCTGTCTGAAACCAGAGCCCAGTCTGCTCTGATTGGTTAGCTTGCCGGCTCTGTTGTGATTGATCAACCGCTTAGAGATGTCCCGCCCCTTAGCCTATCACGTACAATGTGTTGGAGCATTAGCCAATAGAAGTGCAAGTGTTACATAGTGATGTCACTATGTTCCACAAGTAAACAAAGGAGTTTCAACAAGGTGTTGTAGTGTGTGGGAAAGAAACTACCTCTGGAGGAAACTTTGGGATGTTAGCCTTTGCAGACCATGTACCTATTGACCTATTTAACACACTACAGGAAAGGGAAAACCCCGAAAAGCATATTAGGGCCCCATTAGAAATCACAAGTTATTTTTCCTCATAACAGCCTGTGACTAAAAATCAACACAATAATAAACTGACTTTAGGATGCAAGTGTATGCAAGTGTACGTGTGACAGGAAATGACATTTAATTAATGTCTAATGCACGCTTCATGCCGATACCTGTCCCTGCTCCAAGTTCATGAAAGAAACCTGGAGATACATATGTCTAGTGAAGTGGTCTCTTTAATTAGCATGAAAGCACTGCAGCAAAAATGTAAATTCGGAATAGACAGAGACAGATTGAGAGGAAAGGAGACTTGCCTTTGAAGTTGGGCCTTATTCTGGGATCATAGGTTAACAGTAACCTGTTCAAGATGTTACTGGTTGTATTTTCAGGAACTCGTGCCAGATCATCAGCTGACAGCTCTCTGCATACAAAAAAGAAGAGAGGGATCTGCAGACACGATTACATTAGCAGGTCAAATTCTTGGCAGATGAACAATGCAGATGCACAGCACACCCACGTCTGCTCTGCATGCTGTTAACATGAGAATTGTACCAGGACCAGCAAAAATATGCCTTTAACATTTGGACCATGAAGACGATGTTGACTGGGAATGTCCAGCTCAAACAAAACTAAGAGCATGCAGCCTTGATAGCATTTGCAAAACTGTAGTGACACTGTATATCTTGAAGGACCATCGTTACATATTTTCAATTCCAAAGATATTCAGGTGGTGTCTGGAGTTACCACAGCATTTTGAGAACTACGGTGGCCTTCAGGTAACCTAAAAACTAAAAAGGACATGTCAAGAGCCAGAGTTTTGTTTGTCTGATCTCAGCTATTGAAGAAACCTTCGGGTGCAACCTTGCAATCTAGAAAAAACTAGTGCATGCTAAAACATGGTTATTCATATTATTTTCCACTTATGCTTATTGATCTCCCAACATTCTACAAATCGGTCTACTTTTCGATGATCATGCCATGTGGGTGGCAGGAAGTATACATAACTTGTCAAGACACACAACATATCGTTTCTGTGTATTTTCACTTTTTATTGAATCCAAAAAGGAAAGTTTCCCTTTGAACCGTTTTGCAGAATACCAAAAACAGCTGTCTACTTATAATTATCACCATAAAGGGGTAACTTTCAAAGACGTTCAGTCAAACGTCATTTGTTGTCTGAGGTTGACTGATGAAAAAACAATAGGAGAGAGGAAGGGAAAGGGGAGAACAGGATCTGGCATGAGAGAAAGGAGAAAAAGAAAGCCTCCTTGTGGGTGGCAATGATTCTCCTGCCAAAGAATTTCCCCTTCTCAAAGCACTTTACATATCATTATGTAAACCTTATCATGCACAGAGGATGAGTTAAAGTGCTCCACAGGAATGTCGCGCAGCGTGTGTATGTTATGCGGTTCCTCTGATCAAAGTGAAACACATAATTCCTATCCACTAAACCTCTTTTTTCTCCTTTTTAACAGACCCTTCTGACAACCTCGAGCACAACAGCTAAACTGGAACCAAGTGGTTCCCTTGATCCACAAAGGCATCCACAGCACTAAACTCGAAGATATGTCATACAGCTTACACTTGCCAATACTGGGACTACATCAAACAGTTTCTCCCTCATTTCAAAACTTTCATTGTGGAGCCATTTGTTACCATTTAAGGGAGTAAGGGGCGCAGCTCTCCCCAGCATAGAAGTGATGGACAATCCAAAAGGCAAAAAGGCATGTTAGGACATGTCCAAGTTCATTCTTCATTTCATTTCATTTCAAACCTTTATTTAGACAGATTGGTCCCTTGAGATCATCGATCTCATTTACAAGGGAGATCTGCATCATTTAGTTCCACATGAAACATAAAAACAACAAACAAACAAACAACAGAGGATATCATATTTACATATTCAACATTTACAAATACCCAGAGTGTCAGAAAGCATTTCATTTAGACGTGCCTTAAAAACATTCAGAGAAATAAAAATGCTCAATTTCAATTTTGCCTGTAGACTGTTCCAAGCAAGTGGAGCTGCGCACATAAAAGCTGTCTTACCTAAGACAGTCCTTACTCTTGGCACATCTAACAAGACTATATCCTGCGATCGCAGACAATAGCTGCTTGCAACTTTCTGCTTCATCAATGAACAGGTATAATACGGGAGTTTGCCCAACATAGCTTTATAGATAAAAGTGTACCAGTGACTGAGCCTCCGTACAGTGAGTGATGGTAAACCTGCCTTGGTATACAGTGTACAGTGATGAGTAAGTGCTTTACAATTTGTGACAAATCTCAGAGCACTATGATACGCAGCATCTAGTTTGCTCAGGTAGTTGGCAGGTGCATTCATATACATCAGATCACCATAGTCCAGCACAGGTAAAAAAGTCACAGTGACTAGCCTTTTCCTGGCCTCAAGCATGTTAACATATAAGTGATTAATATACATGGCACAGGTGCAATCTGACACTGATCATGCAGTTTAACTCTAACTGTTCCTCCACACTCAAATTGTATGAATATCATAATGATACACTGATTAAAAAGCAATATGGGCTTTACATTCATTAGATAAGTGACTTTATTATTGGTTTGACGGTTTGAAAACAGATGCCTGCATTTCATCTGTTGGAGGCTTACCAATGAGTGTCATAGCGCACTGGTCACAAGGTCAATGCTGTCTTCAGAGTGAAATTCAACGTATTGTCTTTCACATCACAAGTAGTACAGCTGTCTGCAGAGTGATACACAGCAGCACCTGTTTTAGATAAAGATGGAACTCCCTGTGAGCCACTGACAGCTACATTTGATCTGTGTGCAGCTAAAGGTGGTCTTTGCATCGCCGAAATGACGTCTTAGATTAGTTTGGGCTGTGAGGATGTTAGGTGATGACTGTTTATTGTGTTTCTGGGGTTAGATTGTACTTCCTTTTTAACACATTCATCAATTCAATCATTTTTTTATTACAAATTCAAGTTTATAGGAGCGAAGAGGATGAAAAAAACTCAAGTAAAAATAGAAAAGAAAAAAAAGTTACGCCTTGCTATTTGGTAAATGGACTTTACTTATATAGCGCTTTATCCAGTCTTTAAGACCCCTCAAAGCACTTGACATACTATATGCCATTCACCCATTCACACCCAGTGTATCTTACTCTAGGACCCAACATTCACACACATTCACACACCGTTGGCCATGCCATCGGGAGCAACTCAGGGTNCGTGTGCCTTGTCAGTCTCCATAAACCAAACCATCAACGCGCTCTCTAGACCACATATCATCCAACAGTTTATCCGGTTTCCTTTGGACAATCAACAACTACACAGGATCAAAGCCAACTTCATGGCAATGCAGGTATGCCCGGTGTGGTCGGTGCTATTGACGGGACGCACATAAAAATAATTGCGCCATCAAAAGATGAGGACGTGTTCGTCAATAGAAAGAAAGTACATTCCATCAACACGCAGATTGTTTTCATTCATCATGATAGGGGGACTTGAACGGTGGTATGGGCTGTTATTGAAAGTGTTTAAGTGCTGGAAATATGCTCATTGGATAATAGTTTGCAGGGTGCTTTTAATTGCCTCCTCGATTTAATGCAATTTACGTATTTTTATTGTTTGCTCTCTCTCTTTACCGTGCATACAACGTCATTATCGTGGTCTGCACAAACTTGTCATCATGCGTGTATTCTGCTAACTGCACTGTCCATAACTATTTGATAGGAATACATTTCTAGCCTAGGCTATTTCCTTGTTTTATCCTTGTTTTAGTGGGCTCGTTTGTGGGATGTTGCAGATGAGTTTCACCGAGACCGCCTGCTCTGAACAACCAATCACCGTACTGACCGCTTCTAAACTCATGCACGAGAATCGACGTAATCCATAGCAACGGCGCGTCACTCTTAGTTCACTCTTAGTGATTTATCCTTAGTATGAGTAGGTCTCAGCGGCTTTGTGAATAACTTTTAAGAAAAAACTCCTACGTAAAATGTTTTAACGCGAGTTAGGAGCACTCCTAGCGGTAAGATAAAATGCTTTGTGAATACGGCCCCAGGTGTACATTTGATCAGGTGAAATCACATCTTAACATAGTCAGGATACATTTGATATAAGGTTTAAACAGGGTCAATGTTGTACTCTAGTATTATAAGTATCCTGGAGGAGTGTGATGCCGTGGGTTGTGCGTTGGTGTTCGGATCAAGGTTCAAACCCCACTGCAGTCGTTGTGTCCCTGGGAAAGACACTTCACCCCCAAATTGCTCCTGTGGGGACTGTCCACAGTATTGGGTATGTAAGTTGCTTTGGATAAAAGCGTCTAACAAGTAACATGTAATGTAATCCTGACAAAACATGCTTTTAGAGGATTTGGTGTTGCTTTCTCGGATGCCCATCATTTGTTGTTGACTCTTACATTTTCATATAACACTTGAATAGCTCTGCAGTGAAGCAGCTGACAAGCTCTTGTCAATCATGACTGAGGGGAAAAGACTGGAGTGGAAGATCTATCAAGTGTAACAAATGGAAGTATGCTTTAACTGAATGCAAAATGAGCACCTCAAAAAGTCACTAAAAGGGAACTCCTCAAATTTGACACTTTAGTCTGGGCGTGCACAACATCAAATGACAACAGATTTTCAATGCTTTGGCAACATGATGAACGTAATGTTGTCATTGGACAACCCCTGGTACTTACGATGGACAAAAAACTTGCTTCCCCTTTTTCTTTCCCTTCTTTGTTCCCTTTTCTTTGGCATATCCTCCCTCTAGACAAAGAGACAGCACCAGGAGGAAGATGGCGAGCTCCTTAATCCCCATACTGATGAAAGATGAGCCTGTGGAGGAAAAAACAAACCGTTTGAGAGGAAGGCCGAGCATTCAAAATGACCCAGAAAGACAATTAACTGGTGGTTATTAAATTGCACAGCATTAAGTCTGTCACATTCAACACATCTCATTTGCAAATGTGTCAGAACACTACTGTAGGTGGCTGCTTAAGCTTTGCCCTCTGCGGAAGTACAAAGCTTCGGTTTGCTTTGTCTGTCTTCTGTGATTTTCTCCTGTCGTTCCTGACGTGATGTGTTCCCATTTCCTCAGGATTCACGGCACATACAGTAGATGTCTGAAATGTAAATGTATCAACCCCACATCAAGTTGTGCAAGTTTAAACATGAATCTAATCATTGGAGGAATGTACTTGAATAACGATGGTCATTCTGGCCTCGTACAGTAAGGTGAATGCGACCCTGAAATATCGTCTACTTTAGTCTAGAGTCTGCAGATAAAAACTCCTGAATGATGTCTGTGCCAGAGTTGTTAATCACACTCTTGGACATTATCATTTGGTTTGATCTATAAAAGCAATGGTGTAATACTTCAATCCTTTCTTATACAACACAAACAGAAATGTAGCAGCTAATACTGTCCTGTGTGTTTGCCATATATCTGTTTGTTAGGAAACCCATAGCCAGGTCTAACAGTACTATGTCTACATGCTCACATAAACGCAGAGGCAGTACACTTTTGCGATTCTTGATAGGGACCATTAATCAGCAGGCAGCCATAGTACCTGTATGTTTCATTCCCCATTAGGGAACCAGTGCCCTTTCACTGCATTGGCACAAAGACCAGAAGCTCCAGCCTCATCCCCACACTGCCAACAAGACTGTGTATTAACCGAGAGCAGTTTATTGTCTAGACAGATAAACTCTCCGTCACTGCCTTGGCCCTGTAACACCCTGACTGTTCCTCGACTGCAGATTGATCATCCTCTTCTCCAGTGAATATGGTTTCCACTGCTCTGTTCAGCACTTTTTCCAAGTATATTCCTGAGAAAAATAGTCTAACATATATCAACTCTGCCCCAGACATATCAGATGACAGCAGCCAGACTAAAGGGAAATGTCTAACTTCGACATTTGTAAGAAACCATTTCTTATGTGACCTCGATTTCTATGTCCCATCTTCTGTGTAGCATTTCTCTACATGACAAGTCCCATCCCAGAGCATTTACTCCAGCCTCCCTGACACAAACTAAATATGACCACTGGCATGATGATACAGAACATAATGGTTCCCAACCCGTTTGGCTTGTAACCCTTTAATCACAGAGCGTACCTCTTTTAAGCAAGTTCTGATGAACCAAATGGCATTCCTTTTTCACACTCTTCTATATTGTAATTGTTTTCTTAAAACTCTGTGTATTCAACTAGTAAAAAACATAATTAGCATCTTTTCAGATGTTAATTCTGTCACAACAAATCACCTAAAATGGTGTCCTGCTGACCCTTCATCAGTAAGTTGTCTCCCAGATGAAAAGATGCAGGAAAAGAAACAAGATCATTTTGTTTATTTTTCTCCCACCTTATATTTTGTCTCGTTTTGTTGGGTGGTAGAAGCACTGCATTTACTTTGCTCCGATCGGTTATGATATCTTATGTGTTTTTTATACAAACAATAGTGAAAGATACATTCGTTGCAATTGTAATAAAGAAGCACAAATCCTCTCGGAAACACTACTCCTTTTAACCCAAACGTTGGCCTTAATCTTAGTGTTGTCAGAGGCAGTTTTCTGTAGTTGTAACCAACACACACTCATGCTAAACTGCTCCCTGTTCAGAGAAATGTGAGTTCAGCAGGCACAGGGTCAATATATTGACCTTGGCAATACCTGACTCAACTGTGCCACCACTGAGAAACATTACACCCTCGATGTGTTTTTCTACTGGCAATGTTGAAACTGCTGAGGATTTTTCCTAAAGCGGCCGACAGTGACTCAAGCAGCCTTACATGGTCTGCCCCTCGGGTCCAAGGTCAAGAAGCAAAACTGCTCTGTACACACATTATCCACAGACTATGCATCATAACTATGTCATTCTATAAAAATAAATAATGTAGAAACATGTGCATATTTAGGTTAATGAGTGCCTGATTATGAATAATACATACAATTTTACAATAAAGCCATGTGATGTGGTGTAAGTCGTTTTTTAAATAACATATTTGTTTACATTTTAAAGGGGGAATTATGTTCTCATCTATCTCTAAAATGCTTTGACACAGGAAAGGCCTGTGCCATGCATATCTAAACACTGAAATGCAACCAATATTACACACCCATTATCATTCGAGCTGGGCTCTCACAACCTGTGGCTGCTCGTCGCTTTGGATCTCTTCGGAACAACAGGAAAGAAAGTAACACAGAACGAGACGAGCCCACAGCCTGAGCATCAGGAGAGCAGAGGCACGCGAGGAAAACACAGCAAGCTGCGACCACCATGACTGGGGGGGTGGGGGGATGCACGAAGAAGACGCCAGTACATGCACGCGAGCATGCGATAACACATCAAATTAGCGCACTTTACGGACAAAAAAATAACACAAAAGTCGCAAACCATGCCTTGCACGTGCACTCACCGTTTGGCTCTGTCACCTGTCAATTCCTTGGTAAACTGGAGCAAGTGAAGCTGACAGTAGAAAACAGTCGTTAACAGAGCCTTCCAGACCAGTCGCTCTCTTTCTTTCCCATTCTGTTGTCCTGCTTAGGCAAATGTGTAGAAATGATTTGTTGGGAAAGTTACATCTCGGCAAATTGCCAATTTTTTTTTATTAATCGCTCACCTCGCCCGGTTTGTTGTTATTTTGGAATCAGTGTGTATATGGCTGCTGCCCTTTCGCCTCAGCACGGGAAGCCCAAGATGGAGGCTTGCGTGGTACCTGTCATGCAACATGCGCAGAAGCGGCTGCTCAGAGCCGGAGAGCATCATCAGTCCTCCCGTCATCAGCACCACGGACAGCCGCTCTCCGCCTCCACACACGCTGCTAAACGTTCACACGTGACGTGGAGGCAGGGAGAAGAGAAATGCTCTCATTCACGTGATGGAAGCAAACGCCTCACTATTTATGGAAGTGGCTGTGTGGTATTTAGAAGCAGATGGACGTGAACACTGGAGGCTAAATAGACCATAAAGCAGAGAGAGAGAGAGAGAGAGAGAGAGAGAGAGAGAGAGAGAGCAATCTGTAGATGCAATTGACTTCAGGCCTAGGCGATGTAATAAACATTGGTATTTATTATTATGAATTGACTGGTATTCCAAGAGTAGGGTCGCTCTGTAAAGACTCATGTTTATGTGATTTTGAAATGTAATGTCAAATAGATTATTTACATGTGAAAGAGCATGCGAGAATGACTGAGGAAAGATAAAGACCCAGTATATATCTTTGTCCTGCGACTTTTTAATTTTATTGTCAAGGAAATTGCTTTGGTGTATAATGGTGCATATGAAAAATCAACCTGTTAAAAATGAGCAACAAAAAAACATTAAAAAAGCCATTATAAATAAATATATTCCATGTTTATAAGACATATAGCGAACATAGCGATTAAAAATGCATTGGAGAAAACACCATAAGAAAACACGGAGAATAAAGTCCTAACAGTGACAAACTGCATCTGCGGTTATATATAATGTGATAGGATTGAACTCCATAACAGCTATTACATTGACCATATGATAAACTGCTGTTTCAAATGTCAGTAACTCACTTTGAGCTTTAAGCCGGAGTGTGAGCCTATCTGTTAAAATACACATCCCTCAATTTGGGTCGATGTGTTTTCTACCTCGATGGTGGGTTTCCCTTTTATTTAAACCTGGCTTGAGAATGAATTGAAAAACGGATGACTGTCAATGATAAATGAACGGATGTCCTCAAGTAAAGCTTGAAATATTTTTGGCAGACGACCAAACGGTTACGGGCTCACCAAATATTATCACCTGATATAGTTTTATCATTGATTTTTATGTATAATGAGTTAAAGGGGTTTTACGAAGCATGTATGGGACTTTTATGCATTTTTAGATTGATGTTCCACTTCAGTACAGAGTAGCGAGCTGAGAGTGCAGCCCGAGGAATTTCAGTCCGAGAAGCTCCACCAACCAAATAAGGTAGAGTATACTCAAGATAGGATAAGCTTAATATTATGTTGACAACTAATCATAAAATGGAGTTTATTTCCTGAGAACAGCCACACACTGCAGATTAACCCTTGTGTGGTGTTCATATTTTTGTTACTCAGCCATGCTCAATCTCATCCTCTTCTTCAAAGTCAGACTCAGAATTCTCAGAAATGTGATCCTCACATTCTGAAACCCCTTCCTCAGTCTACATCATCATCAAATGGTTCTCTCTCTTCCAGAGTCATTTGCAAGGCCCTCTGAGAAGAGAATATTTGGGCCATCTTGATCAGTTGTGATAAGGACGCAAACATTTGCAGCTTGGATAGAGTGAGAACATTTTTAGATTGGTTCCCGCAAGACATAATGCGGGAATGTGAGAGCAGACGGGTGTCTGAGCTTGAATTTATCAACAATGTTGAAACTTTGTGTGGGACGAGAAGGGGCAGAAAAAGTCTCACACACACACACACACACACACACACACACACACACACACACACACACACACACACACACACACACACACACACACACACACACACACACACACACACACACACACACACACACACACACACACACACACACACACACACACACACACACACACACACACACAGAGAGACGACGACAAGAGGAGAGAAAACACACACACACACACACACACACACACACACACACACACACACACACACACACACACACACACACACACACACACACACACACACACACACACACACACTACAC